GCTCATTGGGATCGTCCCAGTGCATGTAATCGATCTTATTGTTGGTTAGCGTCATCGCGCGAGGCGTAAATACTCTCGTTCCAGATTTTTTTCTTTTTCGATTCGATCGACATCAACGGCGATTATTTGTTTATACTTGTATCCCTTGTTGCTCTTTAATTGACCTTGCGCATCATATTGGCGTTTATCCACACTCGTCGCCATCATTATACTCTCATATTTTTGCATCGTCCTCAGTGTATATGACATCATCGGGAATTCTCTTAAAGAGCAACTCGTATAATCCTACCAATGTACCTCATTTTGTCCATGATTATAGAGTCATCTTTGTCAATGTCGAATTGTTTGTTACCGAGACGCATTTCATTCTCGTCAAAATAGACACCGTACACGTGATCGTTCTCGTTTTTTCTTTCGTCGCCGCTAAGAAGAGCGCTCATGTACTTTTGTTTCAGTGGTCCCAAATGCTCTCGTAACACTTCTTGACCTTCCGATGTTTGTAACATGTTTCGAACAGATGTTTCGAGTGGGTTGCCCGTGGTTTCGAACATTTTCGATTGCGAGTGATTCGGGTATCGTGAGTTGTGCGATTCTCGGTGTCGCAGACGGTGTAGAAGTTATCGGCGGTTTGTCTCGTAAAACATCCGATAGATCGGATATACGCGGCGCCGATAAACGCTTCGCCTTCAATCGTTTCCTCTTTTTCGGAGTCGCATCCTCTTCCTCCTCTTCCTCCTTGTATCGCTTGATGGGTAACGTTTTAATCTTCGCGTCGGCGTTAGTCTCCGACTCGTTTTTTACCATGATTGAGCTAGAGTTATCGATGATCTTTTGTAGTGGCTCGATAATAGGTCTAAAATGGGTCTTGAGCGCGATGTCGTTGTCGATTTTACCGGTCTTCAAAGCGCGATGTTCCTTGCGGATCGATTCGCTCGTTTTCTCAATCTCCCTCAATCTTTTCACGCTCGCGAATATTATCGCTTCCAGCCATGTTGACGGAATGTCGAGCGTCATCCCTCTCGACGGAATGTCGACAGCGATTAATCGTTTTGTGGTATCGCGAACACGTTAAATTCTTTTCTGTATCGCCCGTTCGTAAGCGAGCTGTCCTTATTTATCACTAGGAATCCATACGTTTGCTGCCAAAAAGTACGGCATAATTCACTGAAATCCTCGTACGACATGTCGGTATTCACGTGATTGTTGTACACGCGTTTCAAATTGATACCGTCCTCTTTAAACAAGATCAGCAGGTTCGTGTTGTCGCGTATAAGATGTTTTGTTATTCTCGCATACGTCTGACAGAGATAGAAGTCGACGTTCGAGTGACAACCCATTGAGAAATACTCTCTTATCGTATCTTGCTTGTCGTATGCCACGTCATCAAAGACGAAAATCGAGTTTGGACGTGCCTCGCTCGGTCGTCACTGTTATTGGAGAACGTAAAATAGCCGATTTCGTCGATCGGTGTCAACAAATTCTCTAGATATCGATATTTCGGTTGTTGCAGCAACTTCAAGTACACGTACACGTTCTCGAAACGTACTCCGTGTGGACTTTCCAGTAGACTTATCAGAAACGGTTTGGTTTTATCACAATTCAATGGACTGCAAACGATCGCGCGTATAGTAGTTGGTAGCATCATATCGTGTCTGCGCATCTCCGCGTTGTACCTTACGTGCTGTTGAGCGAAATCAAAAAGCTGTCGATGCTGCGTGCTCTGGAAAGCGGACGATATCTCAGCATGGTTTTTCGCTCGTGGGATCTGTACGAGTATCCACTATTGCAACTTACAACCAAGCATTCGTGGACCATTAAGACCACGACTCAGCTGGAGAAACCACGATACATTGTCTTCGCTCTGCAGACAGGTCGGAAGAATGTCATGTCTGCGACTGCGAGTCAATTTGACGATTGCAAATTGAACAACGTGAAACTCTATCTGAACTCGGAATGTTATCCGTATGACGATATGTATCTGGATTTTGATAAAAACAGATATTCCATTCTGTACGACGTACACGCGCTTCTGCAAGAACTATTACGGATACGAGTATTTCCAGCCGAGTCTCACCATTTCACGGTTCGTTCGTGATTATCGATTGTTCTCGACAAAACGAATTGATCAAGAGCGCAACCGTGGATGTAAGATTGGAATTCGAGTAAGGAGAACGTGCTGACGAATACCACTGCGTACTGTCTCATCATACACGATCGCGTGATACAGTACAATTCATTGACCAACGTTGTACGCAAAATCACTTAAGTATTCGCAACAACATCGACACAAGAGAAAAGGACGGAAGAGGAGCATGATATAAATCAAAGTGTTGCGAGATGGTTTTATAATTTTGTCATTCCTCTTGACTGACGTATTGAAGAGAGAGAGAGAGAGAGGGAGAGAGAAAGAGAGAGAGAGAGAGAGAGATCGTCATGTCTGTACTAACGTTTGTGGATTTGCAAGGATTTACCATCGGCAAATTATTCTTCGTGAAGGAAGCGGCAGTCCTGAGAAAGGGATATGTTCTGTCGCATTATTTTTTCGCAAGTCCCATACCGTGGAGCGTGCTTAAAATCTGAGCGATGTCAAGTCTCATGGTTGACTAGAAATCATCACGGATTACAATGGGAAGACGCAAACGTTCAATATGATTTGGCTCAGCGTGCAATTACAACAGCTGTCGTTGGTACGATACACAAAGAAGAAGAAGAAGAAGAATCGTCTGTCGTATACGTTAAAGGACTTGAAAAGCGAAAATGATTGACCGATATACTAGACGATACAGGAAACGGCTGTATTATTGAAAGTTTGGATGCAGATTACGAAGATATTAATGCTCTAAATAAATTAGATGATACAAATAGTATGCGATGGAAAACATGTTAAGAATTGTGCATTACAAAATGTATTCAAAATATTTAACTGGTGGTCGCAACGCTAGAAAGAATTGCGAGAAAAATAAAATATGTAAACATTAATATATGTTATCTTTTATTTCTCCACCTTTGCTTGCATTTCTAAGAATTTTTTTTGTTTGAATGCCGTCTCCCCCTTCTCCTAAATTTCTGTGCATTAGAAGCATTGATCCCCCACCATATTATACTTTTAGAAGATGAGCGTCACGTATATCCGATTAATTCCTATCAGTGTCGCGTTAACCGCTCGTGGTTCACTTTTCATAACCCCAGAAAAATAAAAAATGTACTACATCGAAAGAAACAACAGCAGCAGCGACGCCGGAAGACGCGTGAATAATTATGTGCCGAGTCGTGATAAAACTCCATCGTTTGAGAACAAATGTGACGAGTAAGTTTCGTTTAACATTTTTCTATTTTTCTATTTTTACAAATTATATTATTGTTAGTATTATTATTATTATTATTAGTATTATTTAATTTTAATTTTGTAGCATTTCGTTGGAGCATCGTGCGGTTCGTATACTAGGCAGACGATACGCATTGGCGGCTACGGAATTCAAATTCTTCGAAATTGGTCAATCAACGTGGGTCCGCTGAGTTATGTGGAGATTGTCATAATAGATCATCGGGGAAAGGAACTGATATTATCTATTACGGAAAAAATAACGGACGAAAACGGAACATGACGAACAATAACGGAGAACGACGGAGAACGACGGAAAACGATGGAGAACGATGGAGAACAATTGAGAACGATGGAGAACGACGGAGGAGGATGGAGAACGACGGAAAGCGATGGAGGAAAATGGAGATAACGAAGGACGACGGAGGGCAATGGAGAACGACAAGAGAGAAGAGTGATATCATAGAAAAATTAATCTGCATTTTTTAATGCAAATCCATCTCAATTGATACTAGAACTGTGCGAGAAAGTATTCGGTCGCGAACTTGATATGTATAATCGATTCAAATAATTGTTATACCAAAACTGATTGTTTTAGTTTAACGGTTACTTGAATCTGATTATACATATTTAATTCGTGATTGACTTTCTTGCACAGTTATAGTGGAGAGAAATCGGCACTTTTCAGTGTCTTTATATTGATTTATTGGAAATCGCTATGGTTATCGCAATCAGTATTTTTCAATGCTATTTTAATATTCATACAATTTTTCTGTAATGATAACTATTAAAGTTTTCATGGTAGTTAACATTACAGAAATGTTTTGTACTTATCGTATATCATTTATTTTTCTTCGTGATGTCTTGTCAATATTTAAAAGTAACGCAATATGCGGAAGAAAGAAATGTTGAGTGAAAAGACAATATCCCTCTTTCCTTTTTCTTTTTTACTTCAAAATTTCTAATCTTGTGCTTTCTTCTGCTTAGATCTGGCGGATTCAAGAAGATCCTATTGAGAAACTTTTTATCTTCGGTGATTGTGGAAAATATGTATATATATATATATATATATATATATATATATATATATATCAGGTTGTTCAATAAGTTTTGTCGTTCGATAAGAAAAACAGGATTTTATGGTTTGAAATACATTTTATTATCCAATATAATCTCCCTGAACTTCAATACACTTGTTCCAGTGATCTTCTAATTTATGGATTCCATCCCTGAAGTGAGAATCCGGAAGACTGTCGAAATACGCTTCCACGGCTGCTATTACCTTTTCGTTCGATGAAAATCGTTTCCCACGCATGAATTTTTTGAGATGTGAGAACAGCCAGAAGTCAGAGGGAGCTAAATCTGGCGAATAGGGTGGATGTTGCAACAATTCGTACTTTAATTCACTGATTTTCGCGATGGTTTTTTGAGCTGTGTGAGAGGGTGCGTTGTCTTGATGAAAAATGATTTTTTTCTTCTGTAAACCAGGTCTCTTCTCACGAATTTTTACATCCAGCTGGTCCAAAAGGTTACAATAATAATTTGAGTTTATTGTTTTACCAGTTTGAAGGTAATCCACGAACAAAATTCCTTTTGCATCCCAAAAAACTGATGCTAACACCTTCTTGGCCGATTTCTGGACCCTAACTCGCTTCGGAGCCAAAGTACCGGGTTCACATCACTCCTTAGCCTCTTGTTTTGATTCAGGATCATAGTGGTAGACCCAAGTCTCATCCATAGTGATGAAACGACGCACAAAATCCTTTTTATTCTTTCTAAAACGCTCTAAATGTTGCTGAGAAAGTCGCATTCGAATGTGTTTTTGTTCCATTGTTAGCGAATGCGGCACCCATTGTGCACACAGTTTTCTGAAACCCAAAACGTCAGCCAAAATATTGCTTACACTGCCTAATGAGATGCCTAGGGCTTCTACTAAATCTCTCTCGGTTAATCGACGATCTTCCAAAACCATATCCTGTATTTTTGCTACGATTTCTGGTGTTGATGCACTTTTTGGACGTCCTTCACGTGGATTGTCTTCAAGACTTATACGACCACGTTTAAATTCAGCAACCCATCTTTCTACTGTTCTAATTGAAGGTGAAGAATCCTTATACACTTTTAACAATCGTTCATGAATTTCTTTTGGTGCTACACCTTCCAAAAATAAGAATTTTATCACTGCACGATATTCAATTTTTTCCATTGTAAGAAAATACTGTGACACGTCAACTTTGAACACTTGTAAATATATGAATGAGTTGATAGATCTACATGAAACTTCACACATGTTCATAAAAAAGTATTACCATTTTTAAAAAAATAAAACGGCGAACCTAATAGCACCATCTCTTATCGAACGACAAAACTTATTGAACAACCTAGTATATATTGTAACATCTCAACCAATAATTTTCTTCTTTTTACCATATAAGTGAATTCCTTCTTACTTTATTGTGCAATTCCATCTAATTATAAAAGAGCAAGATTGAAGGAAATATCATCTTTTGTTAGCATTAGCATTATAACTACATTTATCCTTAATTATAATTAATTTTAATTATATTTTAATTGATAATTATGTTAACTGAACTTATTAGAATTGTAGTATTAATTTTATAAGGACACGTATTGCGACGTTTTTATTCAATTGAAATTGTACCAACTATTCGCAACACTCCTCGGAGTGTTGGGAAGGAGCGTACGCGGGGGAGCGAAAACGCCGTCAAAAGAAAGTAGCGAAATTAATGTACTCGCGCTCTGAGGAAAACACAGGGATGGAGGGCGTTCGCGCGCGAGCCGCGGCAAAGCGGAGGCCATTTCGATATCTCGATAAGTTGGACGCCAGATGCGGTCTTTCACGCATCAGTTTTTCTACAAAACGCCGAATAACGCGAAAAACGATAACCTGCTTCGCCACAGGCCGACTAGCTCGCCTAACGGTAGAGGGGAGAGGTTTTGGAGAAAGCTAATTGATTATGCGAGACTTCACTAATTCTATATGCGACAAACACAAAAACGGATATTGACAACCACGAGAGACTAACACTCAAATAAATTACGCGAGCTTAACAAAGAAATATAATAAGTTTATTAATAGGAGAATAATATAAAAATAAAATTAAATAACAAAGCAGAGTAAGAACGAATGTTCACAATAAATTCAAAAGGATGAGAAAACGAGATATACAATAGATCAAATCAGTAATGGTACTCATAATAATAACTCAATCAAATCGAATGTTCGCTTGAAATCGACAACCTAAAAGAGCGCTAAGACAGTCCTGGGAATCATCCGCGCCTGTTTTTATGACCAGAGTTCGCTGGACTGAACGATATTTCTCAAAATACAACGGAATCTCGACACCGAAGTTTTTGCGAATAATATATCTCAAAATGTAGCGGAATTTCGGCAGCCAAATCGACGTCTAATGGTACCGGTCTTTTCTTTGCAGTTTCTCAGTTCGCGATTCTAAACGACAGCATAAGAGTTCGACAGCATAATTAACCATAAATCGAAAATAATTAATAATTTTGCGAAGACGGATCTCGTATGCGATAGGCGAGCGATATGTTCGATATCTGATAGCCGGCGGCGGCCGGAGATTTTTCTTTCGCGGCGGTTCGCCTCTTTTCTCTGCACAAGCAGCTCAAATTTCAGTACAGTCGTATTTGTGCGATTATCTCGCACCGCGACACATTCGATAAACGAAAAGGACTAATTACGCACTACTCACAGACTCCCCGCGCGAAATGGCCCCAATTCAAATTCCGCGGGCTGTCGTGGACCCATTTTTAATGATCCGGTGGAGGCCCAGCTGTCGTTTTCCCCTCTCGGGGGAGGTAGCGCTGATCAAACCTTCGTCCGGTCTTATAGAAAAGGGGGTGATGTTACCCCTTGGCGTCTGGTTGCTCGACATTTCGGGCGCTACTTTCTCCCCCGCCGGCTGTCGGAGAGCTCCGTGTCGCAAGTCGTGACGCAAAATCCCTCGGCGTGCTTCTTGTCCTTCGGATTTTCTCCGGCGAGTTGCCCGATAGTCGCTCAATACAAGAAAAAATATACAAATAGAATTAATAAACGCGAAAAATATAATAATATTGTTCGTCTCTCCGGGGAGTTCGATATCGCTCTCGCTTATTGGCTTCTGGCGCGGCCGCTCGGCCCGCGCCCCGTCAAAAATACAGGGGCGGATGGACGCGCAACAGAACGGCAACGTCACAGTATATAAAAAAATTATAAGTTCATCAACGAATAATGCATTGTACAAGGGAATAATATTAAAATGCCTTTGAGATTCGGCGCGCGCTTTTATCTATTATGGAATATAAATCATAATAAATGGATAACGACTGTTAAGCCCCTTGCACAATGCTAGGCAACAGGCAATAGGAACAGGAAATAAGCATAGGGAATAGAAATAAGAAATTCCAACATATCAAAAACCGTGCATCAACACAGAATGGACTGTGACATAGGCAATAGACACAGAATTTCCGTCACGTTGGAAATTCTGTGCCTATTGCCTGTTGCCAACCAATCAACACAGCGGATCTTTTAGGTTGTATGTACGAAATTTTGGCGCATCTGTATACATATTGTATGTTTTTTTATAATTAGCTCTGTTGAAGTATATAGAAGTAATATACTTGATTTATTCGTCATGGTATAGTGCAAAAATAAAAAAATATGTATGATCATTACTGTTCCAGTTCTTTTGAAGACAAAGAAGAAGAGTATCTGAGTGACGGACTAGATACATTTGATCAAAATTCTGATACATATATAAAATCTGGTGATGAATTATTAATTGATATGGTTCGTGCTCGCTCATATCTTTATGATAAAACTACAGAAAATTATAAAGATGCAATAATGAAAGAGAATGCATGGACAGAAATTACCACTACTCTAAATATTACACGTAAGTAAACTTTAACTTAACCCTGAACTGACGTAAGCCAGCCTCAGAGACAGCCTTTCTGTTTGTTTTCATTCCGTCTCATTAAGAATGGTACAGGGCCATTCCAAGTAGAACACATTAATCATGAAAATATCAAGATGACATCTTTTTTTGATCATATTTTATGCATCACGGTGACGTCAAAATGGCCCACCGAGAGCACCTATTCGTGACATCATTAAGACATCAAAATGATGTAAAAATGATCTTGTTTTACAAAGCAGAGTTAATTAGATATTATACATTAGTAAAAGTAAATTGAAGTAATATAAGATAAACATTATAACATGTGTTACGTCCAGGGGAATTCACGATTCTTTTCTTTCCCGTACCCGGTGCACACGTGCACGATTTCCAGAGCCGATAATAATAGCTAAATTAAAGCAGGATTCTCAGTACATGCTCTAAAATAACAATCGGATATTAACGGGCTATAAAAGTAGCATCCGGCTAAATAAAGCGGCATTCAGTCAAACAAATTTGATATTTTCTTAAAACTCATAAAATCAAAAAAATAAAGGAAACTAATCATAAAACGCGAGTGATCGGATATCGGATGTTACGATTCTTTTCTTTCCCGTATCCGGTGCACACGTACACGATTTCCAGAGCCGATAATAATAGCTAGATTAAAGCGGGATGCTCAGTACATATCCTAAAATAACAATCGGATGTTAACGGGCTATAAAAGTAGCATCCAGTTAAATAAAGCGGCATTCAGTCAAACAAATTTGATATTTTCTTAAAAACTCATAAAATCAAAAAATAAAGGAAACTAATCATAAAACGTGAGTGACCGAATCGCAAGAGGGTAGTAACAGTCATCCCTTGTGCGATACTGAGAATCCTAAATCCCCCGTTTTGGAAGATGCTCTCCTATTCGCGAACGAACATAATAAAATCCTGATTTGCTACATTTGTTCTAAAATGTTCATAAGTAGAGGCAGAGAGGAGACCATGGAAATCTAACAAAGATTTCTATTCGTCAACCTCCTTTATTCCTCACGCTAGGAGAGGGTAATCCAAAACGATATATAAGCGCGAACTTCGAACAACACTTGTCAGAAAATTCGTTCAGTCAATCATTATTCATTCATTCATTGACTCACGCGTTCATATACGCACTCAGTATCTCAAAAGTTTCGAGACATATCAACTTTCATATAGAGTCAGTGTGAATATTCGGTCGTTCCTGTCAGCTATACACATAACGAGTCAACCCAGAACACCGCCTCGTCTTCGACACGAAAAGGGGACCCAGCAGCCATTACGACTATATTCTCCACTTGTAATCGCCTTTCGCAAATAGTAAGTCTTTTCTTTTATCTTCAAAGTTCCTCTCCCTCCCCCGTCTACTTCCTTTACTTATAATAATCGTTTCTCTAGTGGAACCCACGAGGAAATCCGCTAGAGCCCACGCTAAGCGACTTCGATATCGCCGTAATCGACGTACCCGTCGACTGCTGGCTCGGGCTGCGGCCGATTCTTCATTTGCGCTAGACTTAAGTCAAATAAACTCGGATCTCCCTATTACGCGGATCTTTTTAAATAATTTTCAAGGAGACACGCGAGACTCCTCACATCCGCCCCCTCGCACTCCTTCCCCTAATTACTCCCCATATCTACTTCCCGGAACTCTTCCTCCCAGTTACTCCCCGGTGCATGACACACAATCTGACTTTCAGTCTGATTTCTCGCCGCTATCACCCTCTCCTTCTCCACCTGATGCAACCCTCCCCGACTCTCATTTCTTCTCTCCTCCCGTTCTTCCTCCCCCCGTCTTTTCCAACATCGATCTTAGCGATCGAAACGTCGCGGTAATTCTCGGTACAACCTATGCTCCGTACCCGTACCCCATCCTCCCGGACCAATTCACCTTGGGGCCTGGTCCTATTCACATACCTACCCTCAAAGCTTTTCTCCAGACTGCCCCTTCTGATACCTGCATCCCCTGTTTTACTCCCTTCATCCATTACCCTATCGCTATCCCCGTAGAATTCTTCAGAGAGAGATATCCTCCTGATCCTGACCAGACTCCCTCCGTCTCGCATACACACACACCCACACCCACACACACACACACACGATTATATTTAATATTGTATTTAATCAAAATTAAGATATTTATTAATTATATACAGGGTGTTGAAAAATTAAATACCATAAATTTGTGTGATGAAAGAAGGAATCAATATAAGCATTTTAAGTATAGGAACCGTGGGTCGGCGACGCTTAGTTACGGCGT